ATATATATTTTTAATAAACCTAATAATGAAAAAAATAAGTGGAGAAAATGAAGTTGCTAATAAGTGGAATTGAAATGAGTATTCGGTGATAACTGCCGATGTAAAGGTATGTGTTTTGGTTGCCAGGGAACAAAAAATAAGCGAGCAACTTAACGAAAATTTTCCAAAATTTCATTTTAAAAAGCTATCATTGAATGGTAAAACATGACCAAAACTTTTTCTTAATTATTGTAAAACATCTCAAAAGATTTTTACTGTACTAAATTTTGAATTCTAATATGGCTTTTTTTTCATTTATCAGAATTTCTGGATTACGTGCCGAACTATCAACAGTGATGACATAATGACGTAGCGATGCGTATGATCAACAACTATCATTATTCGGAATTTTTTTTCGAAATAAATAAGGTGCCTTTTTAATAAGTTTCATAGAAAATCTATCTGAAAAAAAAAGGATTGTTAAAATTAATGTTTATTTATGGGCATAATTGTTTGAGGAGGACTGTCTTTAGTTTTGTATTTTATCAGTTACCAGCACATTATCATTACAGAATCCTACACCTTTATATACGATCTATGATCAGCGTATTTTAAAACGCGTCCAATATTGATAGTGCTACCTGATGAAAGCTTTTGCGATTAATTCCTTAACCACTATTCGGTGTTTTATTTCCTTATAGATTTAACAATATTTTTTAATACCGCTACAAGTAATGAACATCGGAGCATTTTATTTTTCAAGAGAATAAGCGGTGCTGGATGCTCAAGAAAGCGGTACTGATAGTTTTGGTAACAATAGGAATCTTGTCTTGAAGATTTAGATTATGATTATCATTTCAATAAAAAATATCGCGTAAAAGTCATCAATCTTCCATTTCGATTTAATTACATAATGTATTGCTGTTAAATTTACAGTCCTATATGAATTTGAATTTTTTACTTCCAGCACCTTGTGTTTTATAGGTCTAAGCCGGAAAATGGCTTTCCGGAATGGATCTTTTGTATCTTCAATAAGTTATCAAGATAGTGAAAATTACGCGATAAAAGCAGACGAAAAGCAAAATATAAAGAAATCAAATGCTAGCAATTATTATTTGAATACAGTTGTCAAGGTAATGCCAATTAAATTCAGATTCAATTTGTTTTCTTAAAAATTGAACTAAGACTGAGCACATATATTCCATTACCTTCCACTGTTTTAAATTCTCCGTTCTAAACTTCAAATGAGATTATATTGAATGGATTTAATTTTATTCAAATTTTTTGCTTTTTTCTTTGGAACCTAACATTTTAGCTTTTGATCGTTTTATTGTTGCCGGTGGCTCTTCTTTTTGGTTTATCTTACGAGAAGCTTAATAAAAAAGCAATTTCTGGAAAATTTTTGAATGAAACAGAATGCTCTCAAACATGCAGGTAAGTTGCAATATCTGTTTTGCAATTTCAAAAATTTCTATCAAGCATGCTTTAAGATTCGAAATACGAAGTATTTCATTTCTATATGCCTTCATTTTCCTTTTCTGCAATGAATAATCCATATTCCTCTGGAATAATCTCAACTTGCAGAGTCCCACCTTGCTGTATTACTCGCCTATCTGATCACAACCTCTCTGAACCTCTCATTTTTTTGTTTTTTTCTCACCTTGAAGATATGACATTAAATTTTGAAATCGATATCACTTCAATTGTAGTAGTATTAGCTATTTTTTGTAACTGTTGATGAAAACATTAATCAATTGTTCTTAAATACCATCTCAAATTAGCCTCCGTGTTACTCAAATTAACCTCCGTGTTCAAATAACAAAGGCAGATCTTGAAATTTTATTAAAAAATCTTCGCTCATATTTTGTTTCTGTTAAAAAATTTGATGCATTCTGGTCTTTTCTGGTAATTTTATTTCTGTAAAGTTATGACTTTTTTATTAAATTCAAGAATTTGAATGAGAGAATGTCAGTTTGTACTAATACAAATCGTTGCGATTTTTCCAGGATCAGATTTGTGCAAAGTATTCCTGATAACTTAATTTTTACAACAATCATTCGTTCACATTCAACTTACACTGATAAGAAATTCAAACAGACAATTAATTCTTGCAGCATACAAAACAAGTCTTCGCGGCGAGCATGTTTTGGATTATGATTATTGTCGATCGCATTCTGATCAAGTAATAACGGTTTTGATTTCTACTGATTTCTCACTCAGTCATATTGAAACCGACTGATAGTCTGAATAAGTTTTTCATCCACAATTTAGTTTTTTGTCCTTTAATTAAGGCGAACATGTCGAATGCTGTTAGCTTTACAACTTTAACGTTTTTTCAGGGCAGAAAAATTCATGATGCTCTGGTAGAAGCAGGATTGAAAAGAAAAGTTCGCATACGAATGATCGAAAATTACCCTCCAAAAGATAAGGGTGACAACGAAGATGGCATCAATTTCGCTAAAACAGGTTTTTTCACAAAACACAACTAATAAGGGGATAAGTTAAGATAGAATAGGATTTCTATCTATTAAAAATCATTTAATTTTCAAAAAAACTTATAACAAATACAAAAAGAAATAAAATTCTCAGATTTATATGTGCAAGTATAAGCGTCATATTTTGAGGTGTTATTAGCAGGCGCAGTTTAAATCTTGAAAATTCGCTTGATGCACACAAAATTTGTCATTAGCGATTCCGAGCACTTCCATCTCGGATCAGCAAATCTCGATTGGCGATCACTTAATTAAGTACTGTTCCTTGGAAAAATTAACAAAGATAACAGAAAATGCGAGCTAATCGTAGTTAAAATCAGCGCTTTTCTATATTTCAATATTTTAATTTTTGCAGATTCATTTTCCATCTAAAAGAAGAATTGTTTGAATCATTTTCGAAGGCTCAATATTGATTCGTATGCTATTTGTTTCTTAAGAAACTTGAACTGGGAGTTATTGTTGATTGGATGCTGTTAAGAAGGCAAAAAAATTTTTATACGTTGAAGTGATGGACTATTTTCCGATGTTTGTTTATAATCTACCAAGAAGGTAAACAAATGATAGAAATAAATCTTTTGTTAAAAATTTGAATTTACATTCCAAAATAAACTGTTCCAAAATTAAGTAACTATGGAATAGGAGTGGGCAAATAAACTTATTTTTGATGAATTCGTCATGTATGTTTCTTAAAATAGCAACAGTATTTTTTTGATGAGCTTACACTTTTCAGGTTCAAAACTTCATCTTTAATTCTCATTTTCGATATTACGAAACATTTGGGTCCGATTTTGAAGATAATAGTGCAATCAAGTATTGTGTTTTAGATTCATTACTAGCTTTAGGCATATATAAAACTGTCCACGCTAATAAATTTTTTAAGCTAAGCCAATTTCAAAACTTGGGTTTTATGAAATTTCTTATGATTTAAATATATTTTAAGGTATATAAGTTTGGCAGTTATTGCATGGCATATGTCATAAAAGAATTTCAAAACTGATTCCATTATTCAAAATTTCATATGCGAATGCCTTTTGAAGTATTTTGAAGGAATAAATTATGCAAATAATTTTCTTTAAAAAACAATATGATGGATCACATTTCAAGTAATGATTGCAATACCAACGCCAAAAATTATCTGCAGACTGTTGTAAGTATGCTTTTGCTTCTGGTAGCCGCTTTCGGTGATCTCGAAAATTTAATTAAATGAAGTAAAGTATTAAATAATAATAAACAGAAAATTTATGGTCGGCTTCGAAGGAAAGAAAAGAAAATACGAAGGATTGTGCGATTTGATGATTAAACAAACGGTCATTACTTTTGTTTCCTTTAATGTCTCAAAAAAAAAAAATCATAGAGAGTAAATGACAAAGATGAAAGCAAAATGACACCACTAACTTTTTAACAAACACAAAACGAAGTTAATTGAATTCGATAATCTTCAGTTAACAAAACTGCGATGAAGAATTTGGAGCAGTGAAATGAAATATAACAAATTACCATTTCTCCAAGCTGAAGTGACATTTAATAAACTGTTACATGAACATTATCAAAAGCAATTAGTGAAAGACGATCGGTGATGAAAATATCTCAATAAGTATTCGATGACATTATACAGTTTATTAATCAATTCTTTATGTTTGAGAAAAAAAAACAGCAAGTTATTTTTAAAATACTTGTGGAAATTGATTTGAATTAAAGATGAAATTTGTAAAACACAGGAAATTTATTTAAATTTCCTAAGCCTCAATTATCTATAAATTTTTGAGATGGTTACTTCACAACTGTGGGTTTTAACTCTTGTGAGAATTAAAGAGAAGCTTTTGCCAGATTGCTGTAACGAATATGTTCATGCAAGTTTTTGAAAACTTCCGCTCTTAAATTTCATATTTAACTAACTTTATATTTTGCAGAAAAGCGATGGCTTCAGCCTAATATGTTATTCATCAATATTGTTATTTGCAGAACGTGCATGATAACATCACTAGCTGTATGGAACTTTCTTGATACTTTAAGTAGAATACCATAAAAGGATAAAGGAATAGTAAGTGGATCAATCTGTGAGAAAGTCAGTGATACACACTCTCTACATTGTTCATTCATGTCTTTCCTTGATGATTTACAATACTATTAATAATGCATATGTGTATAAAGATATTCAGATGCAGTAGTGGAGGTATTACGAAATTATTTTGTAATCACTTTCAAAAAATTATAAAAATATGTTCAAAGAAAATTCTTTTTGATAGATTCAAAATATTAAAAATTAAAAGCGCTAAATTCATTGAGAATTGTACGAAATAGCTTTCTGATTACAGGAAAAACATTTTGAGGGCTTTAACTTTGCAACAGATGCATATCGAACTTATAATTCGAGCTATCATGATAAATCCCTAAAGATCTACTATTCTTATTATTGCAATAATATTGGGGAAAATATAAATTAATTTGAAACCAATAAAATTATTCATGCAGTTCGAATTATCAAACAAGATTTCAGGAATTTCATCTATTCGCAATAAATATTTCTCTTTGCGTGTTGTTTTTTTTTTTTTTCAGGATCATAAAAGAGCCATCTCATTACTGTAAAAGTAGCATTCATTATTTGTACTTTATGAAAAGCTCATTTTTCGCTTTTCTACTCTGAAATTTTCATCCTGATGTATTGTTGCTATTGTACATTAAGGAATTTCAAATTCTTTTCTTCATGATATTGGTTCAGAAATTATTTCAAGAAAATATATAATGCTTAAGAATGAATATATTTTGTTTTATAAAGTGCAGTTAGCTATTCCGATGAAAATTTTATTTAACTAGTAAATTTACTGATTTATCCTTTTTGCCCTGCCAGTGTATGATTCTATATTGGAAATCAAGTCCAATTTCTGTACCATATTTAATGAATTAAATCAAAACTAGCATGTAGAAATACCGGGTCACTCGATTAGTGAATCAAAATGCACAAAGAATTATATTATTAAGTCTTAGAATATTTCATTTGTCTGAAAGTGTAAGATTTTGTTGAAAAATTCAGAGCTATCCTAGGCAAAATTGATTACAATAGATAAGATGGCTAATTTGTTATCAGTAGTCTGGAATCTATTGACTACGACATCTGTAAATAACAAACTTCAAGTAGTGTCCTCATTTTTCTTTTTCGTAGAAAAATTATCTATAGTATGTAAGAATTGATAACAGAAAACTTTATTATTCTTTCTGGACTTCAAAATATGGCGAAATTATAACAAAGTGTTAAAAACTTAACATTTCATCAATGCAATATTAAATCATAATCAAATTATTAATGATAAAATGGGATTCATAAAATAAAAAATGATGAAATGTAATAACAATAATGTGAATAGCATGTTGAAAAAATGATAACTATCATTTATAAAATGGGAAATAATTTGATATGTTTTTAGAAGTATTATTTGATTATGGATCTAATGATGAAGTGATTGCGCGTCACTTTGTTGTTGTGCAATAATTTATCCAAATCGATACTGAGAAGAAAAAGTTTTGCTCACTCATTGTTTATTTCAAGAAGGTTAACCGCCATGCTTCAAGCTTAAAAGAAACTTATATTAATATCGAAGGGAATATTTGTGAAAGAACTGGGAAGCAGTAGATTGTTCTCTAACAGCTGAAGAAATTTGAAATAAAAGTTAATTTGAAATCGGTCGTAATTTTCTAAAAACAATAATGTACAAGAAAAATCCGGTAATTTCCGAACTACGACCTTACGAAATTCAATTTCTGACCTGAGTTGGTTTATTTAATCCCATTTTGCTTCGATTAATTGAAATATAAACTAATGTATCAGATATCATCGTAACGATTTTTGCAACAATTGAGCAATTGATAGAAACACAGAAATTTTCTTCTACTTACTTTTATCAGTGATTTTATAATTATAGCACAGAGATAGAAAGTTCCGATTCTCTTGTTGAACGGATAATCTTTTTTTAATTTTATCAGTGATTTTATAATTATAGCACAGAGATAGAAAGTTCCGATTCTCTTGTTGAACGGATAATCTTTTTTTAAAGATCTTCAAAGAAAAAAAATTTACAACAATGTTTTGAAAATAGAAGTGGCTCGGAAATGACTTACATAAAATTGGAAGTGGCTCGGTAATAATTTACATGAAGCAAATGAACTGAGTTTTTTAAACAATTAATTTGTTTTGAAGTTAGAAGTGGCTTGGAAATAATTTGCATAACTTGATATTGTCATGTTTAGACATTCTACATCATCATTTCCGGATTCCGTTTAAACATGCCTTTAATTTTCTTTTAAGATTTCAAGATTTTTTAAAATATTTACAACAATAAAGCCAGAAACTTTCAAAGAAATCATTTCGTCATTCCTGGCTTCGCAATTTTTTTCAAGAAGATAGTTTTGTATGATTGAGAATGCTTCAAAACTAATGCTCTGTTTTTACAAACTAATGATTAAATTTGAATAATAGTGCAGTGTGATGAAGCAGTCCTTTTATGACAACATGAAATACATAAAATAATGACATTGTTTTTTACACTTTTCGTCCGTCAGGATACTCTCAAATTTCGACGCGCCCTTTTTCATATCTTCCATTTTCATTTGGCTTACCGTTATAAATCAATTCGAGAAGTCTGAAAATACTGAATTTGTATTTTATCTTGCAAAAAATGCCATCCTTTTCATTTCGGCCGTCAGAAAGCACACCTTTTGTGGATTGTTGACACATATAAATTGGTTTTAAATGCCAACGGTATGATTTTTGAGATTCTTTTTGGAGATTCTCAAAGTGAGCTCCAGCTACATTTAAACAAAAATTTGTTTCTCAAAATTTAGAATTTAAATAAGCAATGCTTAAGAAATTAAATTTCTTGAGAATAATGACTATTTAAATTATTGGAAAGCGGATTGTTCATAGCATTACTTCCCTATTGATTGATTTTCCATGATTTTATCGGGCAATGTTGATTTCCCTTCCTTTATTTTCAAAATTGATTCAGTTAACAAATATAAAGGAGCCTTTTCCCATATTTCGATCAATAATCCATTAATTTTCTCATGTCATTTTCACAGAATTTTTAAATCTATCGGTCTATTTTCCATACACTGAGTGAACAAATAATCAATATCAATGAAAGTTATACCACTTAAATAATTCAATTTAAATAATAAAATATTAATTCAATATCAATAAAAT